GCAACGGTTCACCGACTCGGTAAGTTCCCCGTCGAGACATAATAAGAGACATAATAATATTCCTTCAAATCCTCACCTTTTCCACCACGGTTAATAAGCGGATACGTTTCAATTAGGTATATAATAAAATACTTCAATTCCAATTTATCAATCGAGTCGTGGAAAAGCCACGATTTCATTAATTTCGCTAATCACCGCTTTTCCCAACGTATTTCAAATACATCGTTTTCGATGTTAATTTTCTCTTTCCGGACGGAATCGAAATCACTTCTCCATTCCTCCAAAAACTTTCCCAGCGACGAAAAATAATATCTTCTCGATCGATCTTCTCCCTTTCCCCCGTTTATCCCTTCCTTTCCCCTTTTCACAATGCGACGACCAAATCCTCCGATCGGACAGAGAATTCGAGCCGTGTATCGCTACATCTTCGATTATATCCAAGTTATCAGGATCCTAGGATCCGATCGATAAGCTTTTCCAACATTTTTATCCGTCAATGGTATCGGCACTGGCTCGACGGATAGCGATGGAGGAAAGGGGTTGTGCGCGGGAAGAACGCACAGGGGGTGTGGGAGGGCCATTCGAGAAATTGCGATCGTCTCTCTGGAGTGAAGTGAACGTTAGCACCGGGTCGACTGTCAGACAGAGAGAGAAAGAGATAGAGAAGGGGGGGGGAGATGGGGGGAGGTTGGAAGCGTTATCACAAGGATATCGAAGTGTGTATAAACTAGGACATAGTCAGTGTACAGCGATAGGTGGGTGGGAGGCGAGGAAAGGGGAGGAAGAAGTGGGAGGTTGGGAGGTGGAGAAGAGATTCCCTGAACGATACCGGTATAGGATGCCAGATTCCCGAGGGAGATTAGATCCCAGCCGTGGATAGAGGCTACCTCGACTGCGTACAACTCACCCACTCCCTCTCCCTCTCTCTCATTCTTCCATTCTCTATCCCCGCTTTTTTCTTCTCTGTCTACCTCTTTCTACGTGTGTGTGTGTGTGCACTACTATAATATCCCTTTCTCTCTACAATCGGGTTCACTCTCTCTCCCTCTCTCTTTCCTTCTCGAATGGTTTATTCTAGCTACTTCTCTTTCGATCCTCTCACACGCCCCCCCCCTCCTCTCTCTCTTCGTCCCTTTTATCATTCACTCCGTGCCTTTCTCTGTCCACCCCTCCTCCTCCTCCTCCTCCTCCTCCTCTTTCTCTCTCGCCGCAACAAATTGCCGAACGTCTCGCGAGCCGCGTCATTGTTCCCTCTTCTTTTGAAGGCTGAAGAAGATAAATAGATAGATAGAATTATTGTGCGCTCGGGCTTAGCTTCTCGTCCCCGGCAGCCACGTAGTGACGTAAATGAAGAGAAGCGAGAGAGAGAGAGAGAGAGATACGCTTCCATTCGTTTTCACGCGTTTAGGCCGTCGACGCCGCCACCACCCTGCTTATTGAGAACTTTCCTATCCTCGTTTAACTCGACGCTTCGTGTTCGGCGGAGGAGGATATCGAGTAAGAGAGTTCCTTGACGTTGTTAAGTCGAGAGGGAAATGATTCGCGGATTACGCATCGAGGATTATTTTTAGGCGGAGGCGAGGAGGAAGGAAAAGAAAAAAAAAGAGGGGAAGAAAAAAAAAAAAAGGAACGAGTTTAGACAATGACTCGACGCTATCTGTTGATCGACTGGTGGTTCTTCTTTGGTAAATAGTGGAAGATAACAGGCGGACAATACCGTCTAGGCGAACGTAAAGATAAACGGTGAGTCAACCGGTCGCGAGATAAAAGTCGGTGCCTGGTACCAACCGCATACTTGGACGTTTTTGGCGAAAATTCGGCCCGAATATTTCGCGTAATAATCCGATGTAAGAGATTGGAATCTGATTCCAGTGGAAATGTATTGTTCGCCATTCGTATATAAATATCTCGTCGATCCGAGAAAAAAGGTTTTAAAAGTTGAATTTTCATTTGCAAAATTTGCCAAGATATCTATCTACGCACGGATAAGAATTCTCGAGAAACTTATATATTTTTTCTTTTCGATGTTGAATTTGATTCGAAAAATTTGATAGGTGGAATGGGGGAAAATATCGTTCGAAATTTCTCGAAGCGCTTCGTCATCGAGGTGTATCAATGAGCGTGCAATTGAAAAAGATGTACGGGCAACGAGGCCCGTTATCTAGCCTCGATATCGGTCAGGCATTTACTCCTCCTCCTCCTCTTCCCCTCCCTCCTGCCGCAACTGGCAAAAGGAAGAGAAGGAAGGGGAGGGCCGGTGAGAGCGTGTTGTTAACGAGACGAAATGAAATAGATTAAGGTCTAGTAGCGATCGTGGTGGCGGATAGCGTTGGTAAAAACGTGGCTGGCCACGAGAACGTTCGAGGAAAAGGAAGAAGGACGGTGCACGGTGTGCTCTCCACGTTCATGCATGGCGTAACCATGCCGCGCGATGACAAAAGCGGCCATCGACGTTCTTCTATACGGCATTCCGGGAAAAAAAAACAAAACAAAAAACAAAACACAACAAACAAAAAAAAAAAATAACAATCTGCTCTCTGCTTAAAACGACAATATTAGAACGAGAAGTAGAAATTCATTGTGATTCAACGATGATAATAATAATAATGATAATTCGTAATTTCATGGTTTGTTGTTTCATTATCGAACGGGACGAGATTATTTAATTATAACGTATCACAATTGTCGATACGGTTACAATAAAATATTCGATCCAAAGGAATTAGCTGACTTACCGAATACAGTTATACAATAACATTTCTAGTATCAAATAATTGCAACGATTGTTAATCTACATTTCTCCAATGTGAAGCGTATAAATTAAAGAGGTTTTTTTAAAGAAATTGACCATAAAGATAAAACAGTCAATCGAGTAAATTGTTCTCGATTCATTGCAAGTTGTTGCAATTCGAATACAATTTCTGCACAATTCGTTGAATGAATTCTATTCAATTAGAATCGAAAGGGAGAAGAAGCATGCGTTTTTTTCCTTTCTTTCCTTCTTTTTTTTTTTTTACGGGTACACGGAGTATGCACGGTACGGTGCGCGCAGAAACGCGCGAGTGTAATACACGCGAGAGCAGGAAGAGGAAAAAAGAGGAGCGGACGGAGCACACGCGTGTGTCCCTCGTGAACCCACGCACACGCACACGAGGCACGCAGCCCCGTATACACGATCGAAACGGCAAGATAATCGCGGCACGTACTTTGCCTATCGCGTATGTATATACGATTTTACGGATAACACCGCTCGCGTTCTGCCGATCGCCAGCCGAAAGACGCCGATGCCTAACAAAGAACTTTTCAATAAATTCGTGGAAATCCACGCTATTGAGACGATAAATCGACACGACACTTTTTCCCCTCCTTATTTCTTCTTATCGCTTATTTAAGAAATCGTGGAACGCTTGCATGTATTGGCCAATAATTTTCGATCGAGGATACTCGACATCATCCTTCGCCACGTGAAATTTCAATTTTTATCTCACCTTATACATATATATATATCCAATAATAAGACTCGACAAGCTGTTCGTTGCGCTAAACGTTTGTTTTCCATTCGACGGCTCGACTCGAATCGAAAACGATTCGAAAGAAAGAGGATCAGAAAAGGAAAAAAAAAGGAAAGTGGGGAAAAAGAAAGTGTTCAAAAAACGATCAACGTTTGACCACACCACAGCCCCGTCGGGAATAGCGAGCTTTATAATCCTTTCAACGAGCAGAAACAAAAAAGGGAAAACAGAGAGAGAGAGAGAGAGAGAGAGAGAGAGAGAGAGAGAGAGAGAGAGAGAGAGAGAGAGAGAGAGAGAGAGAGAGAGAGAGAGAGA